GTTTCAGAAATCCTAAGCTCATTCCTCTCCAGGTTGTATTTCTTTGCTATGCCCCAGCTCTTCCTCTGAAGCCTCCCTGCAACCTTGGAATTTAATACACCAAAAGTACTTTCTGCCCCCTCAGCCTTTCCCTCTGATTCAGTAATGTGCTGATAAAAAAAATGTTTAACAACCAGCTCTTCAGGGGCAAAAAAAGGTATGCAGGACACACTTTTAAGTTTAATCTGCATTTTAAACATCATTTTCTTAAGTCTTGACATTCAACAAAACAATAAATTAAGCCCTCATTTGTAGTGTTTGCCAAAGTCTGAGGTCTCAATGTTCACATTGAAAATTTAACCATAGGCTCTCTCTAGCTAGACTGAACTGTCTCCATTCCAGTATCCAATGGCTTCTCCCAGACCTTCCATTTAAGAAGGGCTCTCAAGTCAGCTGTGTCTCATTCCCCTCAAGGCTGCATACTGCTAACTTCCTCTATTTTGTCCCTGGGGTAGGTGTCTTTTCCCTGGCTCAACCAGTTTCCCCCCCATTAAAAGTAAGCTTCTTGGGGACAGGGACTGTATTCTCAGTCCTTTAACACAGCCCCTGGCATTTTCTTGTTTGGTCATGTCTGACTCTTCATGACTCCATTTGGGGTTTTCTTGACAAAGATGCTGGGGTGGTTTGCCATTTTCTTCTCCAGCTCATTTTACAGATGAGGAAACTGAGGCCAACAGGGTTAAGTGCCTCGCCCAGGGTCACACAGCTAGTAAGTGTCTGAGGCTGGATTTGAATTCAGGTCTTCCTGACTCCAGGCCTGTGCCACCTGCCTGCCCATAGTAAACTCTTAATAAATGTTTTTTGATTGCCTGAGTTCTCCTTTTGATGTATTAAAGAAATTACTATTTTAACCACAGGTGCTCGTGAAAATAGCTCTAACTTTACTATACAGAGCTGGAAATGAGGGTAGGATACTTGCTATGGCTTCTCAGTTCTCCCAGTTCAAAATCTTTCCTCTCAGGTTTGCCTGGCATTCTTTGATTTCTCTCTCATCTCCCCCCCTCCCTATTTCATATTGTTCTCATGTGCACATGTTGACATATTGTATCTCTACCCCCCCCTTCAAAATAACGTAAGCCCCTTGAGGGCCGGGGCTGTTTTGATTTCTGTAGCCTTAGAGCTTAGCCCACTGTTTTTCATTCAGTAGATAGGTAATATCTATTTAATTGAAGTGATTCAAGGACAATTTAATTTATATTTTCCATGAGATGCACTTTTCTGGTGTTGCATATCTTTGTGGTCGTATGCGAATCTAAGTGGGTTTGTGATTGATAATCATTCATTTTCCAAAAATGAAGAAAGACATTGAGTGAAGAAGAGTATGGGATTTGGAGTCAGAAAACAGCAGCCCTCACGTGGCCACCTCCGAGCAGGCCTGTTTCCGAAGACCTTGGGAGCTGTCTTTCTTCCAGACAGCCAGAAAAGAAGCTCTTCATTCCCTCCTAGAGCTGGAGTTTGCAGGATCTCAAGGGAGGACATGAAGAGAAGACAGAGGTCATGGGGGTCTTCTTCCCTTTCCCCTCCCCCAACCCCGTCAAAGCTAAAGGTACAAGTGGAAGACGTGACTTTTTTTTTTTAAATCACACATAACTCTCAGGAGGTGGCAGCACTAAGAGAGAGAGAAAGACAAAAAGATTGTTATAAAGAGAAACTAGGTTTACCATTTACTAATCATATGACCTTGGGATAAGCCACTGTCACCTCCCTGGGCCTCAGTTTCCATATTTATAAAATGAGAGAATAGGGCCACAAGGAATGATCTCTTAGGCTGTGCTATTGCTCTGATCCTCATGAGTACAACTTATAATTTAATTTCTTCCTCCACAAATTGGTGTGGGGAAAATACTGATCTGTTTCTACAGTCCTTATAGACAAACATTCTAAAAGACCTAAAAGTGGGTGAGAAAACAAACCCAGCCCTATGCAATTCTCTGATTGGCCTGAAAGGCCTGGGGGGAGGGTCTGAAGTGAAGGCACTGTGGCCTCCGATCAGTGAAAGGCAATTGTGGCCTAGCCGGAGCTGGGATGCACCTGTGGGTCCCTGGCCAGGAGGCTGTTTTGGGCTTGGCTTCTGATTTTTCTGGGAGACTTCAGGAAAATGAAGAGACAACTTTATACATTCCACTTAAATCAGCAAGAATGCGATTTTTGGCAAAGTTGTTTTTTGTTTTTTGTTTTTTTTTAATGATACTAAACAAAGAATCCTTTATATGCAAAACATTATGAAAAGACTAAAATAAATGCTTCCAGCCGCCATGAATACAAGTATTGGCCTGGATGCCCAGGGCCTGAAAGATATGTGGAAGCTGGCTAAAGGAAAATTCAATTCCCTTCGATCTGATTTAGCCAACACTTCCTAAGGGCTTCTGTTGCTGTGATTTGAGCCTACCTACTGTACCAATCCCTGGGGTACAAAGGGGAAGAGGAAACAATTCTTGTCCTCAAGGGGCTTAAATTCCACTGGGACTGGGGAGAGAATAGCTATATATAATGAAGATCAGGCCCTGAGTCTTAAAGAAATTAGAAACGCTATCTTTCCATCTCGTTCCCTTTTCATTTGTTGCTAACCTGGACATCCCCTCCCCCACTCCCTCTCCCAACCTCCCCCCCCCAACCCCGACAGTAATGTAGCATGACCTTGACTGTTTTTTACATAAACTGGTGCTTATGTGTTCTCATAAATTACTGGTGGGAACAGCACACAGTGGGGGCTGCTGCAAGGGGGCTGTTCCGCAGGCCAGGGGAGCTCATCTGAAACCTATGGACAAAGTTGGCTTCATTAAAAACTATTATGACTTCTTTCTGGGTGCACTCCAAAAACAACCTACTTTAAATGGGCCACAGCCACTCATTAAGAAATTTGAAGGAAACAGCGGGTAGCGGAAAGATGGCTGATTAATCCTTAAATTCTTTCCTTGACTTTGGCCTAAATTTCTGGGTTTTTTCCCCCAGTACAGGCAATCAGAATTAACTGGAACTGTAACTTCATATGAGAAAAATAGATGTCTGAGACCTCTGAAAATATTTTGGGGGGTCAAAGTGCACCAACCAGTCAACTAAATGGTTCAGGCCCTGCTGTGATGCTATGTCTGGTGAGGGGCCACCTGACTGACTCAAACAAGGCCCTATTGTGGGGCCTGGGGTTCACTCCCTCATTTAATCCAAGGGAAATGGCTCTCTCTCAATCCCACGTTTGCAGAACACACACACAACACACACGCCTCATTTCGCAAGCACAAAAATAATTCATCTAAGATTTAATGTCTTGAGACTGTGGAATCTAGAAAAATCTCTCCCTCCCTCCTGTCTCTCTCTGTGTCTGTGTCTTTCCATCTCTCCCTCCTTCTCTCTTTCCCTCTCTCTCTCCATCTCTCCCTCCCTCCCTCTCCCTCCCTCCCTCTCCCTCCCTCCCTCTCCCCATCTCCCTCCTTCCTTCCTTCTCCCTCTCTCCATATCTCTGCTTCCCTCTCTCTGTCTCCCTCTCCACCTCTGTCTTTCTCTGCCTCCCCTTCTCCCTCCTCCTCCCCAATCCCAGCCCCAATGGGATAAAGAAACAGTAAAGGAGTTGTTGCTCCAGAGGGAGATGAGCATTTCTATGTTCAGTATTCTACCCAAGGTGAGAGCTTTCCCAGCTCTCACTCAGAGGCCATTCACTTTTATTTTAGAGTGATTCTAACAAACTTGATATAAATGGCTAAATGCTGAAGGACACACCCAGACATTGATGTAAGATGGGGGGGGGGGGTGTGGGAGCAGTGATTGTCCTTCAAGGAATCTCCAATCTTCGGTGGCACCCTAGCATAGCCAGGCTGAGGGTGATTCGCAGGAAACAGTATAAAGAGATACTGAAAATCTGAAGTGAATCAGAAGACCTAAATGTAATAGATGTCTGTGAAGGGAGGTCACAGAGAGGGAAAGGGGCAGGGCACTTTTCATGGGTACCACGTGGGTCCTTTGCCACTGTTCAAGTTGGTCCTGCTTCCCCTTCCAGTAAGATATCAGCAGGTGAAGGACTGCCCTCATCCCCTACTGCTTCCTCCAAACCCTCCCTTCTTCCACCTTCCCTATGGCTGTGGAGGGCACCACTGTCCTCCCAGTCCCCCAGGGTCCCAACCTGGGTGTCCCTCTCACCCCTCCACCCCATATCCAGCCTGTTGCCAAGGTCTGTCAATTTTACCTTTATAGCATCTTTATAACCCCACCCCTCTTCTCTGCTGCTGCCCTCGTGCAGACCCTCACCACCTCACAATAGGTTGATCTGCCTGCCTCGCTTCTCCCCACTCTGGTCCATCTCCACTCAGCAGTCAGTGATCCTTCTAACTGCAGCTTTGTCCACGTCCCCCACCCCTTCCCTTTCCCCCTTCCAGTCTTCTTGTACCTTACACCACCTCTCCCCCCACCTCCCCTTTCAATCCACTGACACAGGCCTCAGCTAAAACCCCACCTTGTACAGGAAGCCCTTCCAGATCCTCCCTGTTAATCATATTGCTCATTTATCCTGTATTTACCTTGTTTGTATATGGCTGACTTGTCATCCCCCCATTAGACTGTAAGCTCCTTGATGGCAGGGACTCTTTTGTCTTTCTTGGTATCCCCAGCACTAAGCACTGTGCCTGGTACTTAGTAAGTACTTAAAATGTTCAGCTGTCTAGAGTCTGTGACCATTCACACTCCATCTTAACCAAAAGTTCTTTGAGTATTAGCTAATAATTAGGCTACCATAACCTATCATAGCCAAATTTTTGCAATCCATATTATCAACAGCAGCACAAGACTCTGTCAGAGGCACAGAATCACAGATCTGTGAGTTCAGCTGGTCCACCCCCAGGTCCACAGAAGTCAGGACTTACCCAACATGTGAATGGGAATGCTGGGACTTGAGCCCCTTTCCCACTGTCCAATACTGCCTTTAACAGGGCAGAAGGAGCATCTTCCATTTAATGTGTAGATCTGAGTAACTCTTTTCCTCTTAAGAGATTTAAAATTTATTTAACATATACAGATTAAAGGTGTTGTACATGATATGAAACAAAAAGATAAACATATAGTGAATAGAAGAAATTCACATGAAGACTCCTTAACTTTCTGATTCTTCCTACAAAGGGTCGGAGTCATTACAATTGAACAGAAAACTCATCCTTTCAGGGTAGATGCCGTGAGAATAGGAGCTGGGAATAAAATAAGCATTATTATTGAGTGGCATATCACTCAAGAGTTTGAACTAACATTCCTAAAAGTGGAAAACACAGAGACCTAAAAGAAAAAGAAAACTTCTTTGTTAAATGAGGCATATATTAAAGCTAAAATTTGCAAAGAAATGAGAATTTTACATTTTATTTTGCTGAAGATTGTTAAATGTAGAATTCCAGCTTAGGCTATGAAGCAGCAGCAGCTGCTGATCTAGGCCAAGTAACAGCCATTAGTTCACCTGGTGGAGGGTGTGATGAGATTGGAAGAGCCCAGAATTAAGGCATTTTGTTAACCTGGGGATGTGCCAACACGATGTACCGAGTAACTACCAAAAGGTCAAAGTACGGCTACTCAGTTCTATGTGTGCCCGCTGAACACACCCCTTCTTGTGCCATTGGCCTCAAACCCTACTAGTAAAAGAATTCACTTCCCAGGTAAGGATGGAGCTTTTGGTCCCAGGATAACATCACCTCTAGGCATTACTGTAAATAGTTAAGAGGTCTTGAGAAAGACAATAGTGCTAAAATCCGTGCTTAGTGTTCAACAAAAGAGTTCAAAAGGACACTGGGAAGGTTGAGTCACACAGCTGTAATAAAAGAGGCCAAAATCTAAGATAAAAGCACATTGAAAACTCTACTTTTTTATATTTTTAAAACACATTAGAATACATTGTGAGATTAACATATAGAAATATAATACAGTGAAAATAAGCCTTATCTTAAAAGCCAGTTTCTTTCTGGGAGAAAATGATCATTTTGAGGGGATGAATTACCTCTCTTCAGGCAGTGTTTATTAGGTGTGAGTAAAACATTCTGATTCTCAAAGAGCTAATTCACTTCTAAAGCATGACCAATTAACTTGCTGAATAAACAAATGTATTCTTAGGATTGGGTTAAACGCTGGATTTCTGTTAAGGAGATAAAAATGCTCACTAGGCCTTATTCCGTGGCTGTGCAGTTGGTCAATGGCACGTGTGCACACACATTCTAATGATCAATGCAAAGCTACCCAGCAAGAAGAAGAATTGGGAGTATATTTCCCAACTTTTGATACTGTGTGCACCCTATATAACAATGTGGGGTGAAAAATCTAGTTCTCAGGCTTTGACATCCTGTATAATACAGTCTTGAAAAAAGTTGTCTTACTTAGCATGAAGCTCAGGAGAAAATTCTAAGCACCCAAAACTAAAAACGATGCCCTGTGCTTGTTTTTTCTAACACTTCCCAATACTCTGACACTGAGCTCCGATTCCTCACTGGGACTGGAGAAGTATAGTAGAGCTGACCTGCCTCTTTTCTGGAAAAAATGGCCTCAAAGGCTCTCAGTAAGATCTCTCACGATCCTGGGAAGCATCCTACCATGACATCATAGACACTAATTAGACACGGTCTGATGCTGCTGAATAGCATGGAATTCATGGAAATAAATGGCAGCTGGTTTAGGTTTAGGCTTCCAATGACAGACAGACTCCTGCTACAAAAGTCCATAAAAATGCATTAAGGTCAACTTTTAATAAAAATAAATTCAGTTATGTGGAAATAACTCCTTGTACTTCTTTTTCCCCTGGGGAATGCATAGACATATAATGTTAGCTTCCTTAATAGTTATACAAAAGGTATAATTTTTAACACATGTCAAAAGGGCAAGATTCTTCTTCCCTTTCCCAGAACAAAATCTTTTCCACACTGAGAAGGAACTCTTACTATTTTCAAAGGAAATTCTATGTACAGAAGAGACTTCATATTACCTAAGTGCAGAGAAACTTTGGATGGCAGAATGATAAGAATCACCATGTTGTCTCCTTTCTAATTAAACAAATGAAAACAGAAATCCTTTTTCTTGAAAAGCAAAAATTAACAACACCCCCTCCTCCCATATCTCCTAAAATAACCCAAAGAGTGGTCCAACTCATTTAAACATTAGAAAAAGAGGAAGGGGGGCACAGGCCCTTTCAAGTCCACATCTGAGGATTGCAACGATCTACATTGTCACTTTGTGGCAGCTTCCAAATCACAGAATTTTCATATTTCTTAATCTTCTGTTTCATATCTGAGAAGAAATGAAAGTTCAGATTATGGTGCTGACTGTGGTCATTTGGATTTTGAAGATACAAACAACTAAACTATTTTTTCACCTGAACCCTATTTGTCAAAAGTACTTTTTATAGTAAAATACCAGAAGTCATGTGACCTCTGAGCCTCAGTCATCTGATCTGTGGGGACAATGATACAACCTCACCCAGGAAAGTGCTTTGTAAACCTTCAATCGATCATTGTTGAGTTTGATGATTAGAGCTTCCGTTCCTTTAAGAGAACATTTATATATTTGTGCCAATTCGGGCATACAAGTTAAAGAACACAGGAACAATTATGGAAGCTGACGGAGGCAGAATGGAAAGAAGAGTGGACAGAGAGACCTGGGTCAGGAAGCTCTGGGTTCAAATCCCATCCCATAAGGGGCAAATCTGTTAAGTTTTCAGCTTCCTCATTTAGAAAATGGGAATTATCAGAATAACACATTTAGATACTAATAAAAGCTGGCACTGACATGTGACCTCATCTGACCCTCCCAAGCTCTGCAGAGGTCAGAGCCCCCATCATTTCCATAACAGAGTGGAGGCTCTTCCCCCCTCCCCCCTCATCGCCAGCTTCCCCCCAGCAGGGGTCTGAGGCAGGACTGGAATCCAGGCCTTCCTTATGCTAAGTCCAGCACTCCTTCCACTGCGCCAATGCTGCAGAGGTCAGATAGGATAATGCACGAATATAAAGCACTCTGCAAACCTTCCTTTACTCTAAGAATGTCATAATGGTATTAATAATAACTGCCTTGTGAGGAAGAGCTCAAGGTGAGATGACCATCTGTCACTGATGCTGACAGCAACAGTCCCTGCCCTGGGTGGGAGGTTGGACCAGATGACCCCTAAAACCCCTTACAAGCCTAAGGGTCTCTAGAATCATGTGAGAGTCTGAAAAATGCCTGTTTGGGAGGGGGCCTTTCTGAGATCCAGAAGACTCCCCTGCAAAAGCTACCTTTGCTCTGGACATGCCTCCTACTACCTTTTTCTGGAAACTTTCATACCCTACAATTCAGTCACTTCCCGGTGACCTGCTGGATGGGCCATCAGCAGACATGGCCCCCACTGCTTGGAAGCTTGAGAAGGGGAGGGAAGCGTCAGGAGGCCCCCTGTGATCCTTTTCCTGCTAGCACCGCAGGCTCCAGGGGCCATCCTGGCTGCCTCCCCTCTCCATCACAGAAGGCCTCAGGTCCACCCTGATGGGCATCCCAGGGCAGCTGCCTCTTCTGTGAAATCCTCTAGGTCCCCAAACTACTACAATGGATTCAGTCAGTTTGGTACTTAAGATATGGAAACTTGGCAAAAGTCTCTTTCCCAATGCAGGCTGAACTTTGTACGCACATCAGTTTATGAACAGAAAGGCATTCCTGAGAGGTCAGTCTACCATGGTAGAACACCAGGCCGTTAGTAGTTACCTTTTTTAAAGAAAAGATGTGCTTCTACACCAAGTCCAATAGAATTTACATAATTATCTATATAATTCAATCAACATACAGAGCTAATAGGGATAATTCAGGCCAAGGTTCACTTGCTTTTCTCAACAGAAGTCTACTTGCCTGAAGTACCTTAGTAAATACTTTACTTGGGCAACTGTTTGTCTGTGGAGGCATGCCATCAGAAGCAGCATGATCCAGCAGAAACACCACAGGATTTGGGATCACAAGGCCTGTGTTCTAATCCTGGCTCCATCCCTTATGCTATGTGACCATGACCAGATTATGTCACTGGTGGGCCTATGGTTTTTATCTCTAGGGCAATATTTACCCTATCTACCTGACAGGATGTTTTTGGGAGGAAGCTGCAGGTCCTGTGTAAATGTTAATGGTCAATAACAGGAGGCAAAATTGGCCCACCCAGAGGGCCCCTTACTTTGCCAGCCTTTTCCTCAGGTCTTTAATTTGCTCATTCTTCTTGGTAAGAATCTCCTTCAGGCTGCGGTATGCTGCTGTCTGCTGGAACTTCTTCTCCAGCTCCTGCTTGTGGAAGAACACCATCAGTTATGACTGATTATATGATGAAATTTAATTATCCTCTGTTGTTTCAAATGGCACCATCTTATTTAGCTATGCAAACTCAGGTATCTTTAGGGAAACAGTAAGCTTGTACTATCCAAAGTTAAAGAAGTCATTTTGTTTTCTAACTACAAACCCACAAACTAGCACTATTTTGCTGATTACACTGCTAGCAAATGACTCAAACATGTTCTTTCATTAGATATGTAAAATTTAAAACACTAAAAGAAATTCAGATGGGGACTAGCCTTATGACTTCATTGGTACAGAAAACTGTCTCAGGAGGAAAGCCCCTCTGAACAATGTCCCCCGGCAACTTCTTGGAGTCCTGAAGAGCTACTCTCAGTCCTGAGAGGTCCAGTGAGGGGCCCAGCCAATGGGGGTCAGAGGTGGGCCTGAATCCAGGCCTACAATGGTGCCCAGGCCAGCTCTGTGGCTGCATCACCATGCAGGAACACACACACACACAACTCCAAAACAAAAACAGTGTTTGTTTTTTCATGTGAATTGCAAGAAATGATTTCTCTCTTATAATTAATAACTAATTATTGCATTAGAACCAAGGTTTTTCCCCTTTTCTATTTCCTCATCCAGAAATCAACCAGCATGGGAAATCTTAGGCAGAAATTTATTCAGGCCAAGCTCTAAGTTTGGGCTAATGGATGTATTCCTCCTCATTGTGTTTACTCAAACAGGTCTGGGAAAACGTGGATTTTTCCTTCTGTCTGACAGGTGATAGGAAAATTGCTAAGTCTCTTTATCTCTCTCAAGATTTGGGTGATCCAAGTCACATTCCCCAAGACCCTCATTTTAATATAACCCACCTCCCATTATAGTATTCATTCTCTATTATTACTTGTTAGCCAATCAGAGTTGAATTTCATCCTCAGGTGCACCCCTTTCTCAAAAGATTTTAAAAAAAAACTTGCAAAATAAAAATGTGCATACCCTTTGACCCAGCAATAGCACTTCCAGGGCTATATCCCAAAGAGATCATGAAAATGAGAAAAGGACCCACATGTCCAAAAATATTTACAGCAGCTCTTGCTGTGGTGGCAAAGAACTGGAAATTGAGGGGCTGCCCATCAATTGGGGAATGGCTGAACAAGTTGTGGTATATGAATGTAATGGAATACCATTGTGCTCTAAGAAATGATGAGCAAGCAGACTTCAGAAAACCCTGGAAAGACTTGTAGGGACTGATGCTGAGTGAAGTGAGCAGAACCAGGAGAACGCTGTACACCGTAACAGCCACGTTGTGCGATGGCTAACGTTGATAGACTTAACCCTTCTCACAATTACAAGGATCTAAGACATCTCCAAAGGCCTCATGTTGGAAAATGCTATCCACACCCCGAGAAAGAACTATGGAGTTTGAATGCAGATCGAAGCATACTATTCGTTCTTTTTTTTTCTTCTGTTTTATTTTGTTTCTTATTTTTTGTGGTTCTTCCTATTGGTTCTAATTCTTCTTCACAACATGACTAACATGAAAATATGTTTAAAAGGAATGTATATGTAGAGCCTACATTTTGAGGAGAGGGGAGAAAATTTAAAACTCAAAAGTTTATAGAAGTGATTGTTGAAAACTAAAAAAAAAAGTCAAAAAAATTTTAAAAATACTCATAAAGATGTTTATTGTCAAATATTGCCAAGATGATACACGACACAGCTATACAGCATTTGCTGATGAGCTTCTTGATATATGCCCACCTCTGTGACATATTATAACACATGATAATTTAATAGGGAAAAAGGATTTTAAAAAAAATCTCTTTTGTAAAAATGTTATCTGAATTGAAATTAGTAGTAAGTGCTGGCCCAAATGGACTTCCTATTCTTTAGCTTGTAACCTTTGAAAGAACTCTATTGTAATTCCAAGCTTTGGCCAGGGAAATGTGATCTGACCAAACCCAAGCAAAGAAAATGTAAGAGAAAGAGCAGAGATTGGCCATGGAGCTTCACCTCATCCATCTGCCAAAATGGCACACACTGTTCTGTTTGGTTAAACTCATGTCATCTCCAAAACCCAGCTGCGCTGTCATCTCAGTCAGTGTTTGGTAACTGTTGAGGAGGTGAAGCTGCAGGTTAAAAAAAAAAAAGGAAAAGGCTTGATAAGTACCAAAGGTTCAAGAGGTTTGGTCTCTTTGGCCACTGAGGGGGAAGGAGCCTGTTTTTGTTGACTGCTTTCTAGATGTAGTCAATAAAACTGATTTTAATTTACATAGAAACTCGGTCTCTTGGGACATTTTTAAAACATTCCAGAATTTAGTTTAATGTGAATCTTGATCTCTTTCTAGTTCTGGAAATAAAATCAATGAACCACAAATTTCAGAAGCAAGGTTTTAAATTAAGTTCTATGTCTACTTCTGGTAGATATCTGAAATAAAGTAACTTTTCAAATGCAGACTTCATAATAAATTTACTCATACTGTTATCTAACTGAGAAGTAATTTATCCCTGAAGATGGCTAGATTTTTTTGAAAAATTAATATTTTTCCAATTACATGTAATCACAATTTTTAACATTCATCTTTTAAAATTTTGAGTTCCAAATTCTCTCCTTCTCTCCTGTCCCCTCTCATTGAAAAGGTAAGCAACTGGAGATAGTTTATACATGTGCAGTCATGCAAAACATATTTCCATATTAGTCATGCTGTAAAAGAAAAGAGAACAAAAACCCCCCCAAACAAACAAGAAAAGTAAAGAAACTTAAAAAAAAAAAAGGATGCTTCAATCTGCATTCAGACCACATTAGTTCTTTCTCTGGAGGTGGATAACATTTTTCATCATGAGTCCTTCAGAATTGTCTTGCATCATTATATTGCTGAGAAAGCTGTCATTCACAATTGATCATCATACAACATTGCTGTTTCTGTGCACAATGATCTCCTGGTTCTGCTCACTTCACTCAGCATCAGTCCATACGAGTCTTTCCAGGTTTTTCTGAAGTTAGCCTGCTCATCATTTCTTATAGCACAACAAATAGTATTCCATTACATTCATATACCACAACTTGTTCAGCCATGCCCCAACTGATGGGCATCCCCTCAATTTCCAATTCTTTGCCATCACAAAAAGAGCTGCTATGAATATTTTTATACATATAGGTCCTTTTAGTTTTTGTCTTTTTTTAAAAAATCTCTTTGGGTATAGTCCTCTATTTCATTAAATATCCATTTCCCCCCTAAAGGATTATACTCAGTTTTGCAGGGTAGGCAGTTGTAAGCCTAACTCCTTTCCCCTCCAGAAAAGGTCCAAAAGTATGCACATTGTTGCAAATTTCTCTCCAAAATGGCTGGATTAATTCACAACTCCACTAACAGTGCTTTAGTGTTCCAATTTTCCCACATTCCCACCAACATTTATCATTTTACTTTTCTATCATATGAGCCAATTTAATGAGTGTGAGGTGGTGCCTCAGAGTTGTTTTAATTTGAATTTCCCTAATCAATGGTGTTTGAGAGCACTTTTTCATGTGACTATATTTGGCTTTGATTTCTTTACAACCTTTGACCATTTATTAATTGGAGAATGACTTGTATTCTTATAAATCTGACTCAGTTGTCTATATATTTGAGAAATGAGGCCTTATCAGAGAAACTTTTTTTCAGCTATGATTACTGTGTATTTTCCTCCATTCTACTTTTTACATTTATCTCTCTTTCTCTATCTCTGTCTCTCCTTTCACCGTGTTCCTCCTCAAAAATGTTTTGATTCTGACCACCACCTCCCCCAATTTACCCTTCCTTCTATCAGTGTCCCCTCCCTGCCTCTTCTCTTACCCCTTTCTCTGCCTACTTCCCTATATGGCAAGATAGATTTCTATACCCAACTGAGTACGTATGTTATTCCCTCTTTGAGCAAATTCCAATGAGAATAAGGTTCAAGAGGGGTAGCTAGGTGGTGCAGTGGATAGAGTTCTGGCCTTGGAGTCAGGAGGACCCAAGTTTAAATCTGGACTCAGACACTTGACACTTACTAGCTGTGAGACCCTGGGCAAGTCACTTAACCCCAACTGCCTCACCAAAAAGCAAAAAAAAAAAAAAAGAGAGAGAAAGAATAATGTTCAAATGCTCTCCACACCCCCCTCCACTGTAAAAGCTCTTTCCTACACCTTTTATGTGAGATAATTTACCCAATTCTTCTTCTCCCTTCTCCCAGTGCATCTCTCTCATTCCTTAATTTTACTTTTTTAGGTATCATGCCATCACAGTCAACTCACACCTGTGCCCTCTATGTACATTTCTTTTAACTGATAAAAGTTCTTAGGAAGTACAAGTATCACCTTTGAAACAGTTTAACTTTATTAAATCCCTTATGATTTCTCTTTCCTGTTTACCTTTTTATGCTTCTCTTGAGTCTTATATTTCAAAGTCACATTTTCTATTCAGCTCTAGTCTTTTCATCAGGAATGCTTGAAAGTGTTCTATTTCATTGAATATTCATTTTTCCCCCCCGACAGATTATACTCAGTTTTGCAAGGTAGGTGATTCTTGGTTGTAATCCTGGTTCCTTTGCCCTCTCAAATATCATATTCCAAGCCCTCCAATCCTTTAATATAGAAACTGTTAAAAAACTGTGTGATCCTCACGGTGGCTGCATGACATTTCAATAGCTTCTTTCGGACTGCTTGCAATATTTTCTCTTTGACCTGGGAGCTCTGGAATTTGGCTACAATATTTCTGGAAGTTTTCATTTGGGGATCTCTTTCAGAAGGTGATTGGTGGATTCTTTCTATTTTACCCTTTGGTTCTAGAAAATCAGGGCAGTTTTCCTTGATAATTTCTTGAAATATGATGTCTGGGCTCTTTCTTTGATCATGGCTTTTACATAATCTAATATTTGTTATCTCTCCTCAATCTATTTTCCAGGTCAGTTATTTTTCCAATAAGATACTTCAAATTTTCTTCTATTTTTTCATTCTTTTGAGTTTGTTTTATTGCTTCTTGATGTCTCATAGTCATTAGCTTCTATTTGCCCAATTTTAATTTTTAAGGAATTATTTTCTTCAGTAAGCTTTTGTACCCCCTTTTCCATTTGGTTAATTCTATTTTTTTAAGGAGTTCTTTTCTTCAGTGAATTTTGTACATCTTTTTTCCATTTGGACAATTTTGCTTTCTAAGGAGTTCTCTTCCATTTAGGTGTTCTTTTTTTTCAGTATTTTTTTGCACCTCCTTTACCAAACTGTTGACTCTTTTTCCATGATTCACTCTCATTTTTTTCCCCCAATTTTTCCTTTATCTCTATTATTTGATTTTCTAAAATCCTTTTTGAGTACTTCCCAGAATTATTTTTGGGCCTGAAATTGGTTCACATTTTTCTTTTAGTCTTTGAATGTAGCAGTTTTGACTTTGTTGTCTTCTTCTGAGTTTTGGTTTTGATCTTCTGTGTCACCATTGCAACTTTCTATGGTCAGGTTCTTTTTTGGTTGTTATTTGCTCATTTTTCCAGCCTATTTCTTTACTTTTAACTTTATAGTAAAGCTGGGCTCTGCTCCTGGAATGGAGGGGCCGCTGTCCTATGCTTTAGGGTTTTTGTACTATTGCCCTCAGAGACAGTGCTGGGAGTCTGTAAGTTTTCAGTTCTTCCAAGTGATATGATCTAGGTGAGGTCACTGCTCTTCCTGGCCTGTGCTCTGGTCTATGAGTGACCACAAGCATTCTTGTCTGCCCTGGAACTGTGACCAGGGTCCCTGCTCCAGCTAGTGCTCCTCCTCAGCCTGGGACTATGACCCAGAACCAAGTATGGGCAATGCAGCAGAGTCCTGTTCCCAGTTCCAGCTAAGGGTCCCCTGTAACCTCCTTACCATCTGTGGTCTGAGAGCTCTGGAAGCCACCACCACTACGGTCGTCCCTCAGGCCTGCTGCTGCTGTGCTGGGGGGTGGTCTGCTCTGGACTGTGTTCCACTCTCACTCTAGTGAAACAGACTTTTCCTGCCCTCCTTCTAAGTTGTCTTGAGCTGGCAAATTGTTTCATCCCATCCCTATGTTGGTCCTACTACTCCAGAATTCATTTTGAAGTATTATTTTAAAGTTGTTTGAAGAAGAATTTGGGAAAGCTCAGGAGAGTCTCTGCCTTTACTCCTCCATCTTGAATCTGCTTCAGGTTGGCTAGATTTCTATAAATGACTTTAAAAATTATGCCAAAGGTATAGAAATGCACTAACATTTAAGACAAATCCTATTATTCAGCCTTCTGCTTAGTTACAAGGTACAGAAACATGATCAGTTAGAAAGGAAAATAAAAATACTGATTAGTGAATATAGACATGGGAGGATAATTTCACTGAGTTGTTTTGCCCCAGGGAAAAAAGAGCCATTGGTTAGCAAACACTTCAGCATGAAAGGTGGGCCAACTCATTCATACTCCTCTGACCTTTAGAACTTTAGAACACAGGCTAATATCTCAGTGTACCAAGTGATCCCAGTATCTGTCCTGGCTATATTTATTTCTCTAAACCTGATACAACAGACAAAAAATGAAAACGGAAAGACAAAAACTTTACACTCTGACCTTTTCAGCCACACTCAACTGTTCCTGAACCTTAAGTAGGTCACGTTTCGTTGACACTAAATTTTCCTCCAAAGTCTTCTGGTTTTCAGTACTATCATTCAGTGTTTTCTGAAACTCATTCTTCAGTGCTGCAACTGTATTTTCCAAGTCACTTATATCCTTTGATCTGATTATTGCCTTTAAGAAGAAGAAAACCATAATAAATTTTATGTAGAAATTCGACAGCATGGTTGTATCTTAGAATACCACAGCAAACTGAAATGATACTCTGTCCTGGCACCCACAAAATATACAAGATCTAGAGCAGGCCTTCTTAACCATTTGTGTGTGGTCCTTCCCTCTGGTAGTTGCGTGGTAAAACCTAATTTTACTGTGGTTTACTGATCATAATTGGAGGAGATGTTAAATTTCAGTTTTAAGAGAAAATAGAGATGTCATTTTTTTCCATCCAACTTCATGGATCTTACAAAATTTATCCAAAGACCCGTAGAGGTCTGTGGACTCCTAGGTTAAGAACTCTTGGATCCAGAAGAAGAAATCCAGTCCACTGGGTATATTTTCTATGAAGGAATATGGCAGGATAGGGACAAAAATAACATGAGAACAGGAGAGGTCACAATCTGTACCAAGGGTGGAAGAATCTACATGTCTTGAAGTATTAGGAGCATGTGGTCACAGACCTAGAGCTGAAAGGGACCTGAGAGGCCAGTGCTGCCTCCTCATTTTGCAGATGAGGAAACTGAGGCCTGGGAGATGAAGGCACTTTCCAAGGTTGCCCTGGCACTAAGAGTCAGAGCCAGGATCCAAATCCAGAGATAGCTGGCTGAAATTCTGCCTGCCTGCCTGAGGGGAGGAGCCCAGAGTGCATGAGAGCTTGAGGGATGTGGTATTCTACAAGGTGGGGGAGGGGGGTGAAAGCAAGAAGGGGGCTACTTCTCCACACTGAGTGATTCATCTACTTGGGAAATGCAAAGTAAACAATGGATAATTAAGGCCAGGCTTCTCAGGTTCAAATGTGTCAGAACAATGGGGGGGGGAAAGGTCATTTAGATGATTTCTACCTTCTGGTCTCCTTGGACAATCTGTAAATCTCTCAGTGCTCGCTCTAGTTTTGATTTTTCATCCAATGCATTTGTAGCCTGTGATAAAGTGGAAACAAAAATGTACAGTCATGTAAACTGCAACTAACTTTTTTAGTAATTTTGTTAAGAAATTTTAAAGTTACCTGCAATTCTATGGTCTTTACCCTTGATCTCAATTTTTCATTTTCTTCCTGAAGTCTTATAATTTCCTTTATAAAGTAAAGACAAAGAGAGGTAATTTTAAAATCTAATCCAATCAGATTTTTTTTAAATACCAGAAATCATTTTCCTAATTTATAAACTATATATAGTTTATAAAATATTTCTATAGCTAAAAAAAATTCTGTATATTGGTTCTATCAGCCACAACAACCATTCTCTAGTCTCCCAGGCCAGAAATCCTTTTCTCTCCATCACATCTACAAAGTCTGCCAAATCCTGTCTTTCCTTGTCTTTGAAACGTCCCTCAGTCCTCACTATCAGCCCCCTCCTGGCTCACGGCTAACTCCTCACTGCTCTGCCCATCTCCACAGTCCCACTCCCTTCGAACCATGCTGAATGCCAAGGCCAGATAAAGCGTCCTAAAACACTGCTGTTACCATGTCATGCTCCTGACCACGGACCTTCAACGGTTCCATGTTACAGAAGTCTAGATGCTACTGTTGAGAACAAACCGGCACTTTGGTGGAATTTAGATATTAAATGAATATAACAATTGTTTTCTCTGGAATTTATCCCCTGCCTTCTACAGCTACATGTACATCTGAAAGGGATCCTCTTAGCGCCACAAGCAAAGCTTCTAGTATGAGCTGGTTAAAAAGGAAACACAATAAACTGAATGCTTAAAAAACCCCTTATCTTTAGTTTTTAAGCAGGTAAAGATCTCCCTAGTCAGACCACCATGAGCCCTGTACGCGGTCTTCGAGACCCTCCATAACTGTATTTCCCACTACTCCCCAGAACACAACCCGTCAAGTAAGCACGCTCAGTGAGCTCCAGAACACTCCACCCCCGTGCCTCTGCTCAGGCTGCTTCTTTTGCCTAGACTGCCCTCCTCGGGCCGTCCTGTGAAGAAAGCCCAGCTCGGATCCTTCCTCCTCCGTACTCTAAGGCCCTGGGAATCGCTGTCTTCTCCAAACATTTCCCCCACGGACGCTGTCAGGAGCCGAATGATCGGCGCTCACTCGTCTCCTAACTGGTCTGTGCTGATTGGTTCCACCTCCCCAGTGACACTGTTAGTACCTTAGGAGCCAACTGCATCTACACACAATACTGGGAACGCACAAGGTACTCAGCAACTATGTGTTGACTGAATGACATAACGAACAAAAACTTGTGAAATACCTTCAAGAATTGAAAAAGAATAACCTCACTTCATCACCGTGAACAGACAGAACGTTCAAATGTATATGAACACGTGTCTCCCATCCCAGTGAGAAATCATTTCACTAAAACCAGATTCACCGCAGCACTTAGCTGAGCCGCTGCTCTAGTCAGGTACTTCTCTCTTCTGGGACACTGGGACACCATTTGGTACGTGAGGATCCCAAGGATTCAATATGCCCAGTGAATCCAGCATGCAAATCATCTACTCTATGGCCTGGTCGAGCTGCCGAGGAATGACGTGGGCACCAAGACTAGAACCAGCTGATTTAAACCCGGTACAAAATGACGGTGAACTTACCTTGTTTAGGAGCTCTGATGTTCCGCCTTCATTAAGTGGAACAAGTCTTGATGGCTTCATGTTCTCCGAATTAGACTAAAAATTAAATTTAAAAAATGAAAATGGAACAGAATACAGTTTTTATGATCTCTAAAATTAAGTGACCCTTCACATGTTGTAGATCTGCTTTGAGGTTTGTGGTACATGATGTGAAGGCATCACCAATAACTGCCTGTGGGATTTAATAAGCATTTAACTAATGTTGATTAACTGACACTGTGTTGCCCCTCATTCTTGAGGAAGGCTGTAGGAAAGGACCTCATTTTCCATATTAATTGCTCTTCAGAAAAAGAAAAAAATCAGTTATCCAAATCTATAATACCTTTTCATTTTTATAGTTTTATTGTTTACAAAGTGCTTTCATATAAACAGGATATACCCTTAACTTTTAGTTTTAATATTTATAGCTTTAATACATAAATACGTGTATGTATGTATATATGTATGTATTTATGTATACATAAAAACACACCCACACATTTGCTCCTAGCAGCAGCAGCCCCCTGAAGAAGCAGCTCAGCACAGTGGGCACTGTGTGACCTTGGGCAGGTCTTTTCCCCTCATGAGGCTTCAGTCATCTTGTCTGCAGCCCTTAAAGGATGCTCCAGGTCACCCGGAGATCAGCGGAGCTGGAGACAGGGCCCAGGGCCTCAAGTACTGCTTCTTGTGACAAACAGCATTATTAATCTCAACAATTCAATGACTAAAGAAATTTCCAAAAGAGCTTTGAGAAATTACTTATTCTGCACTTTACAATTTAATTTTCTTCAGTGTACAGTAATATTTCTGTTATATGACAGGGGAAAAAGTATTTTGTTTAGCCTGATTTTCCAGTTAACTGACAGTCAATCTATTTTGTCAATGACATGTCCTTTTCCTTACCAAGGATGTCCTGATACTAACTCAAAAAAGTCTCCCAGCTGATCTTCTGCATGTTATTTTAAAATTATAGCACAGTCTAGCTGTGTGACCCTGGGCAAGTCATTTAATCCCAACTGCCTCGCCAAAAAAAAAAAAATAGAGCACACTGAAAGAGGCCTGAGAAAAATAAAATTAGGGGATTTTCTGAAGGCTAAATTGAATAAATCTTGAAGGAAAAATGAAAGCTTTCTTTAAAACATCACACAAAAACCAGAAAGTTTCAGAGGTCACCGAAAAATTGTAAGTATTTCAAGAGTAAAGTTTAATCAGAAATGTCAAAAGCTATGGGTGCTTCTGTAAAACAATGAGGTAATTATTAAAGTATTTCATAAAATAAATGATAAAAATGCCAATTTCAAGCTGTTGGTAATAATCATCACTTTCACATAATGGCTTCCTTACAAGAACCCTGTGAAGTGGTACTGTAACATAAGCATCCTATCATCTCCCACAGCCACGCAAACAGGAGATACTGGAGGCAGAATTCAAACCCAAACCTCACTCCAAAGATCTGTGGTCTTTCCACTATGTCATGCTGTCTTTCAAGGTCTGATCTCTTAGCCAGCTGAAAAAGGCTGAGAAAGAGAGGACCCTTCTTAGAAAATGAAGGGCTGCTGGGTGAGGAAGCACTGGCCAGGGCAGATCCCAGCTTTCCCTCCCCTTTCAGCTGGCTTTATGATCTGTGACATGTGCATGTTCCCCCACAGTGACTTCTAAAGCTTTCTTACTTTATAGAAAAGATTCCAAAGGCAGCTTTTGAGCTCTCCTCTAGCTTTCTAGCTTAGACTTCAGAGTACACTGTGGCAGAGAGGGCTTGAGGCTTTATTTGGCCTTTCAAGGCTTGGGTTATCTGCTGATACCTGGGTTTGAGATTTTCTAGAAAATTGGTACTCAGGAAAATGATGCAATCATGAGCTTTTTTGTTAAGCAGTGCCATAAGCAAGCAACCCAAGTGTACACACGTACACACACACACACACACACACACACACACACACACACACACACACACACTATGGCAATATAAACAGAGGTTCATTCCCATCCCTGGAAATGAACTGGTGAGGCAAGAACTCACCCGGCAGGAGGGGGAGGCAGATGTGTCAGGGAAGAAACACACTCGAAGTTGAGATTCCGAGGGCAAGAGAGAACAGGTTATTGGTGCCAGATGCAGGAGGGGATATTCCTAATCAGATCCCTAATATCCCTAATCGGCTGGGGCGGAAAAGTTCTTAGGGTCCCTCGTCAATGCTCAGGTAGGGGGAGCATCTTTAGAAGGGGTACAAACTGTAGGAGGGTGTGATGTTAATTCTAAGGCCAGTCCAAGTAGATCAAGAGTTCATGCAGTCACAAAGCTGCAAGCTCTGTCTGACACAGAGTGAACAGAGCAAGCTGTCTGTTTTGCCTCTATGCTTCTATGGTCATTATCCTGAGTGCCTCCATATTAAAGTTCTATTATTACAAATATAATATCAAACTATAATCAAACAATCCCATATCAAAAATATAAAGCTTATAATTATTACACGTGAACATACTCATAGATTATCTAAGGGTTAGGGGTAGAAACAGGACAGGGAAGAAGGGAAGCGAGGATTGGGAGATGGGGAGGAGGGTAGGACTGAGTACTAACATTGGGATTCTGAATAATAAAACTTTACCTTTTTATTTGAAGTGGTAAATTCTGCTTTTTCAAATTCTGCAACTTGTTCTAATAATTCTCTTGAAGAAACAAACAGAAATGCTTATACTGACAAGAAAACAATTGCTTTAACATGTCTATCCATTTAAGAAACATACAAATCCTATAATACACAAGAGTATAAAAGACAATTTCTTCAAAGTTCTATTTCCAACAACAAAACCAATATAAAGAGATTGGCTGACACCATGGCCTCATGACAAGGCAGTGACATAAAGAGTGGCCTGGGGCCTAGCCAAGTCTCCCCATCTCCTTGTTCACCTCACTTACTCCTGGAGTAGAGCAGGATGAACAAAATGCTGCCACATAGATTTTTCCATGCACCATGATTTTATGTAAACAGAGAGAAGTGTTGAGGAGCAGGGTCTGAGACTTTATTCCTATAGGGAACTCCTAGGGGAGGAAACTCCCCTTTACCCATATGTTAGATCTACGTCCCTCTAATTTGTAGTCTGGATACTGAGAGCTAAGTAACCCATCCAAGGCTCACACGTCCGTGTGCGCCAAAGGCAGGACCCAAACCCAGGTCCTCCTGGCTTCGTGGCCAGACCTCTCTGTGCTGCCCCATATTAACAGATACAGAAAGAGTAAACGCTAGCATTTATACAGTGCTTTCTGTGTCCTCACAACCGCCCTGGGAGGAAGGGGCTATTTTTGTTGTTGTTCAGTTGTTTCAGACACTCTGTGACCCCATTTGGGGTTTTCTCAGCAAAGATCCTGGAGTGGCTTGCCATTTTCTTCTCTAGCTCATTTTACAGATGAGGAAACTGAGGCAAACAGGGTGAAGTAAGTGACTTGCTCAGGGTCACACAGCTAGTAAGTGTCCAAGGCCAGATCTGAATTCAGGTCTTCTTGACTCCAGGCCCAGGACTCCATCCACTGAGCTACCTAGCTGCCTCCAACTGAGGTGCTATTATTATCCTTATTTTACAGATAAGGACTGTGGTAGATAAGTAATAATAACTGAGGAAACAATCCAAGCTATGTGATTTATTAACAAAACAGGCACAATAAATGGGTCAGTGCATCCCTGGACTCCACAGTCAGCCCAAAGACCCTGAACACAGAGTGAGACAGATTTCTGTGGATTAAAAACAATCAAATAAGACCAATTAATTCTGGTATACAAGATTAGGTAAACTCATTTCTAATTGGAGGAATGACTGGTGGCTTTCTGAGTTGAGAAGGGGAGAGTGAACAAGTGTAATTTCTTGAAATCAGAGAAGGAAGCATTCCACTCCTCTCAGGTGTCTGTATTCAATCAAAGCAACATGGAAACAATAAGTGATTTAATTTGGGGCCAGTTTTCAGGTAAGACATGTGGATTGCTTGGGATATATAATTGTGAGAAAACTCCTTGCATCAGTCTGGATCTGACCAGGTTTCTGGTCAGCATAACCGAGGTCCTTGGTGAAAGGTCGTTAAGCAGCAGAGAGAAGCCGTCCAACTTCCCAGCCACGCAAGGCGAGGCTCAAACAATGCGGTAAAGTTCCCTCCCAATTCCCACAATTGAATCAAAGTTTTCTCACAAGACAAAAATTGGACTAGACCCATAATTAAAAAGAAAGGGAACTGAGCTAGCTCCAGAGTTGAGTCACAAGATAGAGTCAGATGGTTCACTCAATTCCCACAGAACACTTGAGACAGACAGAGGTTAAGTGACTTGCCCAAGGTCACACAGCTAGTGTCTGAGGCCAGATTTGAACTCAGGTCTTTCTGACCTGACCTTTCTGACCTGAGTCAGACCTCTATTTCTGACCTCTATTCACTGTGCCACTTAGTTGTCTAAATAAATCCTAATTTATCAGGAATCCATGTGACATTAATGGAGAATTATTACAGTTTAACTCTAGATTCTTTGTGCCCAGATGATATACTTGGTGGATAATAAGTTTCGAATTGAGGCAAATTCTCTCTCTCTCTCTCTCTCTCTCTCTCTCTCTCTCTCTCTCTCTCTCTCTCTCCATCTCCACTCCAGTCAGCTTTCTCAGAGGCATTTCCAACTATTCTAAAGTTTTGTGTCTCAGTCCTCGTCCTGTATCTCTCAACACTAGTAGACTGATTTATTAAGTATAAATGCAATATAATGATTAAATTTAGTCAAAGCATTTATTTTATCTGAGATCCCAACAAGATCACTAATATCATTCAAAGAGATCAAGAAGACTGACATTTCCACATCACTGCACTATGTGCTAGTAGGAGTTTTCAGATGATCAAAAGCTACTTATGTGTCACTTTCTTTTTAATGACAAATTGATATATGCCTAATGCTACTCATTAGAAAAAAGAACCTCAGAAATAGATGTCATCTTCTACATCTTTCAAAAGATGTTATCTTCAGAAAAAGTTTTCAAATATTTAATGCCCTTTATCTTTTAGATGATTTTTCTGTAGAACACAGATAACACTAACTCTCACAATTTAAGAGATTAGCATAATCTAGTACCTATGCAAATATTTTTCTCCTTGCCTTAGTTTCTTCACACACACTAAAAGAAAATCTGATCTGCAATAATACACCTTTCTTAGGGAAACGCTATAGCCTGCTATTCTCCTAATCACAGGCGTCAATGATATTACCGATTTTCCAGCTCTGAGATGTCTGTCTGTAGCTTAAGGTACCACTTCTCCGCCTGTGAAAACAGCTGCCGAAGCAGCAACACGTTGGTACAGGAAGTATTGATGAGCTCGGACTCTACTTCACTATGAACCACAGCCTGTAATTCATTCAGAACTTCAGTTACTTCATCCACGGTGAAGGTCTCATCTACTAGCCTAAATTTAAAAAAGAAAAGAAAAGAAAAAGACAAAAAACTACTTTTAAATAAAATCACCAAAATGATCAATAAAACTGAACTGAAAATAACAAGCCTTCACCTCATGTCATCTATCACAATACTTGGCACATGGAAAGGTGCTTAAGAAATACTTTTTTCAAAAAGAGTAGATTATCATTTGAAACAACTTATAAACATTTTCTAAATAATAACAACTCATAAAGCAGCACCTTAAGATTTCCTCCCCAAAATACTGAGAGTAGTGCAAGTATTATCAATGCAGTCAACCAGCATTTATGAATTACCTCCTGTATCAGGCCCTGTGCTAAGCACTGGGAACACAAAGGCAAAAATTGTTCCCACTCTCAATTTATCTATGGCCTCTAGACTACTAAGGGTCATGGCTGGGCCTTGAACCCAGCCTTCCTTGCTTCCAAGGCTGGGCTCTTTCCACTTAGAAAAACACCAAAGAAAGTTCAAGGTGGATTAGTTTATCCCATCAGTGATTAGAGTGATTCTTTAATACATGTACATAAATAATACAGTATCTCATATTTTTTTTCAGCCAGGGACAAGGTTTATTAAAGATCTGTCATATTGGCCAGCCTCTTAAGGAATCTGAATCTTTGTGAGGTAAATGCCTAGGTTCTTAAGGAATCTGAGCTTTTGGCTAGACTCTTAAGAATCTGAGCACCTTAATGGAGACACATGGATCATATACACAGAAGGCCTGAGGGAGGGATCTAGGGATCCAAGGGAGAATGGAGTCTAGATAGGATTAAGGGTGGGAAGTGGCCTGGGGCCATAGGGAGGTAAGACAATGGAGGGTTAGGCTAGGTTAAAGGTAACAGAATTGGGAGATCGGGCATAGGCAATGAAAGGCCAATGGATGGGATTATAGCTTCAGGTGAAATCCAGAGATTTGGCCATGTAAGAAAGTCCAGGGTTTTTCCTTTCTGGGGTCCAGATCCCAACCCCATCATTCCCCCCTCAAACAAATGGGACCCAAATTCTTTTGGGGTAAGTGGCAAAGGTCTTGGCTTCTGAAACTGCTTTCTGCTGGCAAGGGGTGTAGAGCTGCCCCTGCCTCTCTGGGTCCCATTTACGGGGTCAGACTTCAGGTTCAGTGGGCTAAAAAACCTTGGACTGAGTCGAGGTTTGGTAGCCTGAGCAATCATCTGGAAGTTAATGGCTAGGACCTTGAAGGAGACAAACCTTCCAGTCTTGGCCGGAGAAGAGCTTGGGATTAGGCAGTTCTTCCCGGCCAGGGAACCATATGATGAGGTCTAGAGGTTTAGGGGTGCTAGGACCCCAAAATCACAACATGAGGGTCCTGCTCAAATGAATTTGACCCAAGCCTTCTTCTAGCCAGAGACAAGGTTTATTAAAGATCCACCATACTGGCCAGACTCTTAAGGAATCTGAATATTTGTGTGCTATTGGCTAGGTTCTTAGGGAATCTGAGTTTTTGGCTAGACTCTTAAGAATCTGAGCCCCTCAGACATACTTTAAAACCTATCACTTTTTTTTAGTCGAGCTTTTCAGTTGAAAAAAAGTTCAATTTTATCTTAAATAAGTCTTACTTTTATATAGTTTAACACTCAACCTGTGTGATTCAGCAGTTCTTTTTTTCTGTTTTCTCTTTCTAAATAAATAAACAAGAGTATAAACCACTTAAGTTTTGCTATGTGTGTATGTAAAAAAAAGTTCAACTCTCCTCTTAATAGCCTAAAGGCCTAAAGACAGAAAAGGAACCCATTTCGAACTCTAGCAACAAAATCTAGCCACTTAAAACCACAACTCTCCCTCTGCCCCTTCAAATCAAAAAGCCTCCTTAGGGAGATCAAAATCAGTTCTCACACTCAACTCTCCTGTAATGTCTAACAATCTTGGAAAAGAGCTGAGAGCCTGGGGGAGATCCTCAAGAAAGCCTGTGATCAGCATCCTTCCTACCCTTCAGAAAATACAAACCAGATGTGGAAAAAAAAATCCCTAAAGTGATGCTCTTCCTCTTCTCTCAGGCCATCTTTTCACTAGTTGGGTGGGATTCCCTTCCCCCTCTCACTCACCAAAGCATTCCATAAATGTTAGCTGTTCTTGACACTAACAGCAATCATCCTCATGGCTTTTTCAGGATTTAGGGACCCCCCATGACCTTCTGAACTGATTCTCAAAAAGGTCATTCAGTAAAAACTAAGTTGCATCAGGGTATCATCATACTATCATAATTCAGGTTATCCACCAAATGCATCACCACCTTGACTGGACCACACAGAATGACTTACTTACCCGGAAGAAACCAGCTATTTCCTAAACGATAGAATCTCATCCCTTTAAGGACCTCATCATTTAAATTTTAACTGCTCCTGACAGAAAGCTCTTAAGAGAGCTGGCTGAGCTCCTTCAATGATTCCTTGAGTACTTTGGGTCATTATGAAGACCATCAGTTCTCATGCTATGCTGACCTGCACTGGTGGAGAGTTTCCTCACCAAGGACTTCTCTATGCCAGTGAAATCACAGGCCCCGTCTCTATCCCTATCCTCAGTGCCCCAAAGTGCCAGAAGTATAGCAGGCACTTAATACAGCTGGTCGATTGATTAATTAATGATGCTAGCAGGGACCACTGTGCTGCGAAGGGCTGCTTTGTCCTACTTGAGATAACAGATTGCTGTGCTTTGCTAATTCTACGCTAGAGTCTTGGTCTTCCTATTGCTTATAAGCTGTATGACTCTGGGCAAGTCACTTTACCCTTTTGCCTCAGTTTCTCAACTGTAAAATGGGCTGGAGAAAAAAAAAGGCAAACCACTCTAGTATTTTTGCCAAGAAAATCCCAAATGGGGTCATGAAGAGCATACATGACTGAAAAATGACTCAACAACAAATTTCCCATTATAGGCTGTCATGGTACTTGCCTCTAGTCATCTCCCCTTACCACACACCTACCACATGAAGAAATAAGACAGTCTAATTGTGTGTTAAACAAGTTAATCTGGTAGTTTTTCCTGATTTGGTTTTGTTTTTTATAAAGGAGGCTACTGTGAGGGTGATTATTGGAAATTGCCTGGGATTTAAAACCAAACCAAACCAAAATGTATTAATACAGTTTTTTAAAAAAGAGAATAAACAAGGTTTTAGCAGAGGGATTCTTTTATAGGGACAACTTTGTGACAGCTGTTGATCACTGCAGTAGCTGGGGCAGCCATGCACATGTACCTGAACCCACCAAGTGCTGAGGTTTTCAGAAATCTGACCTTTGGATAAATGGGTATTAATGGTGCTTTCATTGAACTCTATTCCTTATTAGCTCCACACATGTTTTCACTGGCTCCCATTATCAGATACTAATTTGCCAGAGGCTTTAAGACCGTCCACGAATTTGTCCAGCCACAATAATAATTCTCATCTCTTGCTATGTAAATGTCTATGTTGATTTTATGGTTTCCTACATCTCACAAATACATCAACTTTTGACTATTATTTCCTAGCACAGTGCTCTAAACAATTCAGGCCCTCATTAACAATATTCTCGGATACACTGCAATATGGTGGCAGAAGCAATATCCTCCCATTGGCCAATACAAAGGTCCCAGGCTCTTCTTGGGCTTAAAATTACTTCCTTATTGTCTCTGGTACCTGCTCTCCTTGATATCCTGGAAGCAGGAATCGACAGTCTTGAGTCTCAAACCTCTTTTTGAACGAGCAAAACGCATGTAATTGATAATTTCATTTTGATGGTGATCATTTAGACCCAATTCCGCCTGAAAAAGAGAAAAGAATAGTTGTGTATTACTTCTGAAATTGATTATAAATTCCATTAAGTATAGGATTCTCATAATGTACCTGGTTTATAGATTTCCATTGCAGAACTGCTTTACAGAAAACTCACAATGCAAAAATATTTTAAAAAATAGTATGGCACAAGTATGGTATGCTGGAACGAGTTGTGTACCTCAAATTCAGAAAAATATGGGTTAGAATTCCACCTTCTCTATTTACAAGCTGGGTAATCATGAGCAAGTCACCTAACTTTTTTGCGTCTCAATTTCCTCATCTGTGAAGTGGATAATAATACCTGTAGTATCAACCTTATAGGGTTATTGTGAGAATCTCATGAGATAATGCATGGAAAGAAGTTTGTAAATCTTAAAGTGCTCTACAAAGTTAGCTATTGTTATAGATTAAGATGAAGAGGATGCTCTAAAATAGATCATGTGATTGGTAGTTTAAAAGCAGGAGTGGCAATAACAATATCAGAAAAAACTGAATTTAAACTATAAAACATGAAAAAGAGAAACAAGAATATAATATAATGGTAACACACTAAATTAATAAATATTTTACAATCTTTTACTTGCATGTACCTAAGCTTTAACAGTAAAATTCACAAAAGGTTAACAATAATATAAGAAATGGACATTATAAAAAAAATGACCAATGTAGACTAACAATAAAGGCTTCATAGATATTTCAAGTGCTTACTCAACAAGCAGGAAACTAAAGTCAGATACCTGTGACCTTCTTCCTGCCCCCATCGCCTCTACACCCTAGGGAAGATAATCTATATCTAGAGAGCTGAGCTGAGCTGAGCTGGCTAAGAGTATCTCAAACATGCATCAGCCCTCTCTCTACAACCAGCCCAAACCCAGGACCGCCTTGATCATCAGGACTAGACATTGCTCTGCCACAGTTGTACAAGCCTGTCCCCTCATCTCTACCCTCCCTTCTCTCTAAGGCATTGAGAATCCAACAGGACCCTGGGCTATAGTGAAGGTTGTGATCTTCTCCTGCCCTGTCCACTCAGGACTGCTGTGCTTCTGAGGTATAGGGTGACTAGACAAAAACTCCTTTCCCTCCCTTCCCACACCACTCTCTGCTCTCCCATCTTCATCCCAGTCATTCCCATCCTTCTGGTTCCCTTGTCTTACTCTTCCTTATTTTGTAATGTGACCTCTGAACACCCTTCTTCCCATCAGACCCTGTGCGCTCTCCTTAGACACTCCCTTGTCTACATTTTGGTTTTGTTTACCTATGTACCTGTTATTTCCCTCGGAGTATAAACTCTCTGAGAATAAATGGGAGAAGCAGGAAATGCACATTCTTTTCAAGAGCATTTGGAGCTCAAATCAAAACTAATCCCATACTAAGTCATGAAAAGCCAAAAGGTATAATATGTACCCTACTTTCAAGCCACAATGTAATAAAATTATTTTTTAATGTGTAAAGATAAAAAACCTAAAAAACATTAAAACAATAATTGAGTTAAATCAGGAAACTATATTAAAAGATAATAAAAATAATACTATAAACCAAAAGCAATGGGATGTAGTCAAAGTCATTCTGAGGGGAAATCAGGACTAAATAAATTAAGCTGGAACCTAAAGACACTATGAAAGGAACAAAAAGTAACTTAAGGCAAAGTAGTAAATGGGATTAAAAAAAGAGAATTAAGTGACTTGCTCAGGATCATCCCCCTTGTAAGTGCCTGAAGTAGGATTTGAACTCAGGTCCTCCTGACTCCAGGGCCAGCACTCTATCCCTTTTGCAACTTAGCAGCCCAAAATGAGCTATACAATAACCAACCACAATTCCAGAGAAATGATGGTTAAGCAGCCTATCCATACCTGACAGAGAAGTGATGGACCCAAGATGCAGATTAAGATATACATCTTTGTACAAGGCCAATTTGGGAATTTGTTTTGTTTGACAATGCATGTTTGTTCCAAGGATTTCTTTTCAATGGGAGGTGGGCTGGGAGAGAGAGATTTGTAATCTAGGGATAGGGCAAGAGGAAGAAAAGGAGAAAGAGGAGGAGTTAAAGGAGGAAGAGGACAAGAAGGAAGAAAGGAAAAGAAAGGAAAAAGATTTATTCAATCCTTTTTGTTTTAAGCAAATAAGAGAACAGAAGGGAGGCCAGAACGAATCACAGACAAGTAGAACAGCTTTGAAATTAAAAAAAAATTTTTAAACAGCAAATTACATATAATAGTTTCATGTCCAGTACTTTTTTTTTGTTCTACTCTGTACATGGAAACACCCATTTTATTCAGTATCTGTAAAGTTCAGAATTTAAAAGTAAAATTAAAATGCAAAAAAAAAAAAGCAAGGTTATAACCTATCAGCTGGTTGTGAGCCTGGATGATCAGAATGATAGGAGTACTCTCAACAGAAACAGAAAAATCATGAAGACGGAATGGCCAGAGAAGGAACACAAAGCTGAAGCCCACGAACTTGGTAACAGTATTTCAGTATAACTGGTTTCCTTCCTATCCCATGTATTTTAGACTTCTAAAAGCATTCTGAACCGGGTAAATAGGCTTCCCCAGACTGCCAAAGAGGTCCATGACCAAAAAACAAAAAGATAAAGAAACTCTGCTTTAAAGGGAAAGATACTGAGTTCTGCTTTGGACATGCTGAGTTTAAGACACAGTAGATTTAGTTGGAAATTTCTATTACGAGTAGCTGGCGATGAGGGACTGAAGCTCAGGACAGGGACAAGGGCTGAACATTGCGTATAGATTTGGGAGGCATCTGCAGAGATAATATCTGGAAACCATGAGAACTGATGAGATCACAGAGAAAAAAGAGGGCTCAGTGCAGGGCCCTGGCGAAGCGGGACAGGAACGCCGCGGGAGCAAAGGAGACTGAGGAGCAGCCAGAAGCTGAAGTGCCAGAGGCTGAGGAAGCCAAGGCAAGAGCGCCGAGAGCGCTTCTCCGCCCTTCCCAACCCAGTGTCCAGCCTCACCAATAAGTCCAAACCCTCTTCAGTGACCCATGGCCTCTTAACTGCTGAGCCTGAATGGCTTTTCTCAATGCTCATTCTTGACCTTTCTCCGGCACCTGGCACTGTTAACTCTTTCCTGCTGGAAACATTCTCCCCTTGGGATTTGTGTGGTTCCTCTTCTAAGTAATGTTCCTCCCTATCCCCAGGCATCCTCAACAGCATCCTCCCACCCAGTTACCAAATCTTGTCCTTTCTTTTCCCCAGCGTCTCCTGGATAGCTCCCCTTCTCCGTACTGGAACAGCTCCCACTGCTCCTTACCTGGATCCCTCCAACAGCCTTCCAATCATTTCCCCCTCATTTTCCACTCTCCCTGGAGTCTCTTCCCACTGCGATCCATCCTTCACACAGCTGCCCGAGTATTTTCCTAAAGTTCAGGTCTTACACTTGTACTCAATGAACTCCAGGGGTTTCTAATCATCTCTAGGACCAAATATAAAATCCTGTTCGGAATTTAAACCTCTGCACCCCCTGGCACCCCTTCTACCTTTCCAGCCTTCTTACACTTTACTCCCTTCCAGGGACGTCTTCCACATCAGGCTTTTCTTGGTCCTCCCCCCCCTCCCCCGATGAACTAGTGGCTTCTCCTGCATGGGCCCTCTTATCTTGCACCGACCCAGTTATAGACTGGTCATCTCGCCCACTGGAAGGTAAGTCCCTCGAGGGCAGGGGCTGTTCTCTGCATTCCTGGCCCTTAGCAAAGTGCTTGGCACACAGTAAGCACCTACTGTGTGCTGAATGACAGCCCTAAACGTGTATTCCGGAACTTTCTCTTCACCAGCTTGTTACACTTGCAGTATTACGGGTGCTTTTGGGGAGAGGGTATAGGTACATGGGGAGGATGGGGATGGGACAACTCTGCCCCGGCCCAGGTCAAGCTTGGAGGAGGCGGGAACGAGAGCCCGGCATAGGGGTGGGGATATAAGGGATGGACGGCCCGACCTTTCTGAGCAGGGCTCTGGGGGCCTCCTCCCTCCCCGTGCCTCAGTTTCCTCCTCTGTAAAAAACGAAGGGGTCGGCCTCGATGCGCATTGAAGGCCCCAGCCCGCCCCAGATCCAGGATCCAACGACTCCTGACAAGACCGCCTCTCTAGGCCCACGGCCCCGGCCCCAGCCCCTCACCGGGCGCAACCCCCGCCGCCCCGGCGGGCTCGGGCAGGCTGGGACTCACCATGGCGGGAGGGAGTCGGTCACGCCGAGGGGAGAAGGCCGAAGACGACGACGACAAGTCCGGGGGCTAGGGGAGGCCCGTAAAGAAAAGCTGTTTAGAAGCCACCCGTTGCCATGGAGAGCGGAGGCTCGCGACTCCGCCGTCCCTGCGCCCTCATTGGTCTGGGGGCTCCACGTGGGCGGAAATGATCTAAAAGGTACTGACGTCTTCTTCAGTTCTGCTGGCAGAACCAGGTGCGTGAGAAACTTTTCTTCCAGCTGCGCATGCGCGGGTAGATCTTTTGGTCCAGGAGATTTGTTGCTAAGGTGATTGACAGGCGCAAACCCCTTACACATGCGCATAGGAGCATTCAGCTCTTGGCCGAGTCCCCGCGATCCAGAGGATGGTCTCACGTTATTCTCCCAGGGTTCAAGGTGCAAGTGCCACTCGTGTGGCTCTGATGCCTACATATTATGCCAGGAGCAAAGAAAAATACTTCGGCGAAACACCCGGGGCCATCTGCCTTATTCCACCACAGTGTTCCTCTGTCTATGCTGTTTCCTCCTATAGAATGCAAGCTTCTCCACGGCAGTCACTCTTTCATTTTTGGCTTTGTACCTCTTAAACTTAACACAATGCCTGGCACGCAGCAGGAGCTTAATAAATGTTTGTTGATTGGTTCCTCCAGCCCAGGGAGCAGTGGTGCAGTAAAAGATTGAATTAGGCACACCCCAGGGAGTCTTTAATCCAAGGGTGGAAGTCTGGAGACTTTTGCATTAATTAATTGTTATTTCTTTACTAAGTAGAAACTGAAAAATGTTTTCCACAAGTTGGAAAATTGGTTTGAAAAATGTGCTACAAATGATGGTGGTTATTTCAAATGTAAAAAACAAAAACCACTACTTTAAAACTAAAATTTTAATTTTTATATCGTGTACATTTAAAGTTATTAAAGCTTAAAGCCATATAAGAACTTTAAAACTACTTGGTATATATAAAGATACATGAACATATATGTAACAAATATTCTTTCAAAACTTTTTTCTTTTTAAAGACAGTAAATTTTTTTTAAAAAATAAAACCTCTTTGTGTGTAATCAGAACTACCAATTTTATTTCCAGTAATTTTTCTGATTAATAACTTTCCCCCTCCAAATAGACATTCTTTTTTTCCTACTTTATTATTATTTCTTTTAAACATTTACATCATTATTCTAGTTATTTTAGCAGTGGTATGATGTGATTTGAGTATAGGTTATCCAGCCTAGGCTAACTAAACTTGCAGAACCTCTTCAGCAGATTGACTACAAAATTATGATGTTTTTTAAACCATAGAAACTGTGAAAGTCCATTTAATAAGAGACAGGACTGCAATCAGCTTCAGTGCAAAGAGTACTCATGCTAATGAAATTACAGATTTTTTAAATACGGAGTACGGTGTAAACGGATGATTTCCAAAATGTATATAGTGTTAATCCCCTTTTATAAGAAAATATTTTTCTCCCCCTTTTCATAAACTAAGCTATATTAATGATTTTCTTAGCTTGTATTTTATTTGAAAATAGAATTTATTATAAACTAGCATAAATATGAAAATTAATAAAATAAAATAAAAAAGTAATAAAAATAACAGCTATATCCTTTGTCACTTTCATGTTTATAACATACTAATGTGATTAACGGGTTTACCTGGGGGTTCAGTTTTTCATAAATGATTTTTGCCACTAGGTGGCGCAGACATAGGATTAAATTTAGAGGCTGGAAGACTAGCGCTCAAATCTTGTCTCAGGCTCTTAACTAGTTGTATAACCATTGCCAAATCACTTAAAACTCTCTCAGCTTCAGTTTCCTCAGCTGTAAAATGGGCATGTAAAATGTAGCAACAGTTCAAATCCGACCTCAGACACTTGACACTTACTAGCTGTGTGACCCTGGGCAAGTCACTTAACCCTGATTGCCTCACCAAAAAGCAAAAAAAAAAAAAAGTAGCAAGAGCCTCTACTTCACAAGGTTGCTTTGAGGATCAAATAAAATGACATAGGTAAAGCATTTTGCAAACTATAAACATGTTAACTATTGTTATTATCATTATATGGCTACTTAATTATTTCTCAACAACTTATCAAAATCATGTTTAATAGCTATGGGAGAAAACCCCATTTTGCACAAATTAGATGGGATAAATTTCTATTGTTTTGTTCAATAAAAAAATCTGTATTCTCTCATAGCCAAAACATCAGAATTTTTTTTAAAGTACAAATACTTGTTTCAGTATATTATCATAAGTCTATTAACTGTTCTTATTCAAATAGAATGAGGCCAAATGTATTATATTAGTCTGTGGCAAACAGGTTCCTTATCCGTGTATTTAGATAACTAGCTAGTATCTCCAGCATGAGATGGCTATGGGAAAAGTCTGGAGAATCAGGAGTGTGGCTAGAAGAGATTGAATTATATTTAGTTTTTTTAAAAAATAAAGTGAGAATTGCTTCTGCAGACCTGTCAGGTGATTAATAAACACATCTTTATTTTCTTACATTTCATTTGTGTGACAAGTATTTTTTAAATCAGGAAACACTTAATATTCTTTAAATTTATTATTCATAGCCCCCTATTTTTTCATAATTGTAGTTCACTTTATCTTTTTGTATCAGATTATGAATTTAAGGATCTTGCATTAATTTAATTAGAGCATTCAATTAAAAAATTTGACCAAATATGCAAGTTTCAGATGGAAATTTTTGTCATGAAGTGCATTTGTTTTATCTTTATGATATTACAAAGAAAAATGACAATTTTTTTTGTTTTTACTTTGGTATTTACCAAAATGAATAACATCAAGAAATACAACATTTTGATATCCAAATAATATATTGCAAGTTCATGTAAAGATTGTTTAACCTTGAGTTTACATAATTTAAATCAACTTCACGTAGCATGGTAATTCACATGTATCTCATCAATGTCGTGACTGTATGTTAATGATGACAGGGGCAGATCCTACCTGCACTGATATTTAATTTGCACTTCATCAAGTTTGACCTTTTTTGTGTGTATTGTGCTCACTGATTTTTGAATGGTACTTATGGTTTTTTGAAGCAGATTTATGATTTTGTTGACTTTGATCTGAACTTTCTCTTAATTGAAAAAAATGGAATATATCTATGTATGTGTATGTATGTGTGTGTGTATATATGTATATATGTACATACACACACACACACACACATATATATATATATATATAATATCCCATCATATTTATACACCACAATTGTTTCATCCATTCCCCAATGGATGGGCACTCCCTTACCTTCTAGTTCCTTGTTTTTCTTTTTCTTTGAATTTCCCCTTTAGGACCAGGAAGTCTGTTTTGCTTGTGACTATTTCCTCTTGGTCCATATAAATTTAAAACTTACATTGTCATTCTGAATAGAACCTTTCAGCATAATATAATATTCCTATTTAGTTCTCTTAATGCTTACTAGTTTGAATTCAGTTTTATCCTATATAAACAATGCTGTTTCCACTCCTCATGAGTAGATAAGAAACACAATAAATTTAATACCTATTCTTCTCTTTATTTTTTAAAAATTAAATTACAATTTTTTTAGTTGACAAAAATATTTTCTCTTCTTCCCCCTTCCCCCAATAACAAACAAAAAAAAACCCCTATTGTAACAAAAATACATAGTCAAGCAAAACTAATTCCCAAATGGACCATATCCAAAAATGTACATGGCTCAAGCTATACCTTGAGTTCATCACTTCTGTAAGGAAGTAGATAGCATGTTTAATCATGGCTCCTCTGGATTGAACTTTAAAGCTATATCAACTTGTTTTTCATTCATCGTGCTTATATCTGTATGCAAATATCACTGGATTCTGATATTTAATATACTAGATACCCCCTCTCTCCTTGTATTAGCAGGACTATCACCAGTCATCTTGACTTATGTTTCACCACTGGACTCCAAGGACTCTGGAGCAGAGAGTGAGGCTGGTGACTTTGCACAGCCCTGCCTCACTTAAATCCAATTCACTTGCAAGTTGAGACATCGCCCTCCTGATGTCACTGGTCCTTTTTGAAGGACGAACAACAATAAACCTTTATTAGCAAGTTCAGTTCATTTGCACTTAGCATTAAAATTGGTAAATTTGTCTTTCCATCATTCTTCATTAAATTCAGTTGATCAGAAATGAATAGAATTTTCCTTTTCTTATTATTACCATTATTAACCCCAAATCAATAAAATTCTAAACAAAATTCCTCTATCTCATACCATTAACTAACTACACAGATTTCTTGAAATGTGGACTTCCCCTTTTACCAAAGACAGAAGATCTTGGGATCGTTGTGACATCCCTCTCTCTCCTTCTGGACTTTTTTTTTTCTTTGTTTCAATATATTTAACTACTGAAGAGTTTCCTTTGTTTATCTAACATACCCTTCTAAAACATTTAGTAGTTTAATCAGTATTATTACTGAAAGATTCTTATATTAGTTAGCAAATAGTTTATCTTGATTTGAGAAATGTCAATCGTTATAAATACTTTTTTTTTCTTGAAGTCTTAGTTGTTTTTCAAAACATTTTCATTTCTTTGAAATGGACATCTTTCTGAGAACTCTTCAAAGTCCCAATGTTTCACAAGTATCTATGTCTTGAATTCAAAACAACAGAGTGAATTTTGCTAGCTAGATAATTCTGGGTTTGTTTGCTTCTTCATTCCCCCCATCATATTGCACATAGCATAGTCTCTGACTGTTCTTCTTCCTCTAGAAACATGCTGCAATCTCTGTTGATGTCATATTTGTCTTATAGCTTACAGGTTGTTGTTTTTCCCCTGTATTATGGAATATTAGTGTTTAACTACAATATATTTATGAGACTTAAATCTTCAAGCCTTTTTTCCCCAGGTGAGACCACTGTGAATTCTTTCTATGTGTGTATATCATTACTTATCTTTTAAATGATTTCCTGGAACAGAGTGCTCAAATATTTTTACTAAGTTTTTTGGTAGGTCAGTAATCCTGAAGATGTAGCAATCTCAGGATAACTGTCCTCTCTGAATGTGCTACTTACACTTAGTTACACTTACTTGGATTCCAGTTTTCCCAATAATTGTCCTATTTGCTGAGCTTTTTTCTCTTTCTCTATATTTTCTGGCATTTTGTTTTCTGTTACAATGAGTTTGCTATTAC